GAGCAAGGAGCTGTTCTGCAGTCATCCAAGGGTGTGGTTTAGTTTGGGGATGTTACGTTTCAGAATAGGTAACTTTCCATAGCTGGCTCTAAATGAGAAAATTAAATGCGATAGAACCTTTGCTCAGGTTGTTGAGCTGAGGGCCCTGTTTGGAGGCATGATAAGTTGTGAAATGGTTGCCAGGATGATCTGACTAATCAGGACTGCGTGTGTGAGAGAGTGTGTGATTACTTCAAATACCATAACATTTGAGGGTACAGGACAAGTGCAGGAAATTGGGATTGGCGCATTTTTAGTGGCAGATATTTCAGTGCAGACTTGATGGGCCGCTGTATGAATCTATGAATTTAATTGCTGTTGAGCCAAGCTAGGCCAGAGTCCAGCACACCGCAGTGGGCTTGAAGTCGTGTATTGGCCAGACTGGGTAAGGACAGTGGATTTCTGTTGGTAAACTAGATAGGTTTTGTTTCTTCCAACAGTCAATGATAGTTTCATGGTCACTGTGGCCAAAACTAGCTTTTAGTTGCAAATTTTAAGCTTTGAATTTAAATCCCACCAGTAGCCACGGTGGGATTTGAACCGATTGCCCCCCAGAGCGTCAGCCTAGCCCTTAGTGATGTTATCTCCAGGCCACTGTCTCCCCTGTAGACCCGTCTCTTTTGTGATGGTGAGGTGACAGCACCAAGATTCATCCTTTCTCATCCTCCAGGCTCTCGCCCTTCAAAATAGCAAATAAAAATTACAAGCACGAGTAAAGACCTGAACTTGTTTTGTGGGCGAATCATTCTCTGGAAATGGTCTTGGTTTGACCCGGTCATATTGAAATAGATCCTTGGGCCCCTTTTTAATTTCGCTGTAAACTGTGTTTGCTTTCACACCTGAAGCCTGGGTCTCTGCTGCAGTAATAATCCCAAAGTATCAATAGCTTCTCCTGTGGACCAGGCCTGGGTACAGATGTAGTGGAGCGATGGGGAGTTGCAGAGTGCCGATGGTGTCCTGTTTGTTCCTGACAGTGCAGTCATATTGCTCCCCAGCAGGGAAATGGCTAGCCCATCTCCATCATGGTCAGCATGAAAGATTTCTCTGCTCCTGTACAGAGCAAGGTTCCCTCTGCACTGCCCCAGTAAATCTTTCCCAGATGTACTGTCACAATGGCAGTCATAGCTCAGTAAAACAGTGGGCTCCACTCTTGTACATCTGTGTATCGATCTGCCTTTGTTAGGTGAGCAGGGAATCTCATTCCAAAGTGATCACGCAGGATGTGGGCATGGATACTTTTTTAATGCAACCAAAAGTGGACTAAGCAGCAAAATCTACCCTCTACATTCTCCCTGTCTACATGGCACAAAAGGGAGAAACCAGTCAAGTGAAGCTAGCTTTTGTCACCATAAACAGTTTTATCAACTTTGTTTGTCAGCCGGGCCTCAGAGTGAATGGTTTGCACAAGATGGACCCTTCCCTTAGCTGCTTGATTGACGCTTTATCCATTCTCCTATAGACTGGCAGCTCGCTCCCAAGGCCATAGGAATCTCGAGCAGGATCAGGCCATTTAGCCCCTTGAACTGCTATTGTCATTCAGTGGCGGATTGCATTGGTGTTAATTCCACTTTTGCTGGCCGCTGATGCTTGACTCCCTTGTCACCATAAAAGCTATCGAACGCTGTTGACTGATGGCCCTTTGTTTGGGCAAGCAAGCTCCACAGGTTTCTGACCCTGAGAGAAACTGATTCCTTGTTTTGCAAATGGGTTTCCCAGTTTGATTCCCCACCACCCCCCCGCCAACCCCAGTTACCATTTAATCTCTAATGGGCTGTAACAAGGAAAGACATCTTTAATCTGCCTAAAGATGTGAGAAGACTTGTGTTTGACCTTGTATAGGGAGAGGCTGAATAGGCTGGGGCTTTTTTCCCTGGGGTATTGGATGCTAAGGAGTGACCTTGTAGAGGTTTAATAAATCATGAGAGCCACAGATAGGGTGAATAGCCAAGGTCTTTTTCCCCAGGGTAATGAAATCCAAAATTAGAGAGCATACATTTGAAGTGAGAGAGGAAAGATTTTAAAAGGGACCTGAAGGACAGCATTTTCACCCAGAAGGTGGTGCATATATGGAATTAGCTGCTGGAGAAAGTGGTGGAGGCTGGTACAATTACAACATTTAAAAAGGCATCTGCCTGGGTATATGAGGGATATGGACCAAATGCTGGCACACGAGACGAGATTAGTTTCAGATATCTGGTCGGCATGGACGAGTTGTTACCGTGCTATATGACTCTAATAGAAAAGCAGAATATTATTATTTTCAAACGGAGACAGACCGCCGAAGGCTGTGGTTCAGAAGAATCCTGGGTAACCTGGGCTGTGAATCACAAATGGTTAGTGACTAGGAAGGCTAAAGGAACGTTGGCCTTTGGGGAATGGTGTATAAAAGGAGGGGGAAGCCTTGTGATAACTGCATTTAGCACGAGTGAAACTGCAGCTGGAGTGAAGTTGTGCTCTCCTTATTTACAGATAGGTATGTTTGGTGTTGGAAATGAGGGAAAATTCACTAGGCTGGTTTTTGGGATGAACATGTTTGTCTTATGAGGACAGTTTAGACCCGTATTTACTGAGTTCAGATTAGAGACAGTGACGTAACCTTCTGAACTGTAACCAGAGATGAGAAATCTGTCCTTCAGAGGGTTACAAGCTGCTGGAATTCTCTCCCCTAGAAAGCAGTGGTGGGAGGGATGTGGCTGGGTCACTGAATACATTAAGGCAATTTTTAATCTAGTCCTGGGCTTAGCCCCTGGGGAGTCTGTTTTGAATTGTTTGATACTGTAAGGCACCCTTGATTAAAATGCACTTGGAGGGTACTTGCATTTGTCAGCGCTTTGAAATGATAAGCTAAGGTGAGAGTGTCACCATCAGTGCCATCTGAATCTTTCTAGTTTTGTAGCCGTCAGCATGGATTGCTGCACCGCTCTGTGAATGTGACCCCGCTGCTGCTGTTACCTACAGTCAGGCTGAGCCAGGGACAGGGCAAAGGGCTGTCTTTCCCCCTCACCCGACTGGGTATCCTAATGGTTGACCAGTCAACCGTACCCTGGCCCGCTACCAAAAAACAGGAGCCACTGAGCTTAGTGTGAGGGAGCCCTGACGGATCAGTTGCCTCTCTCCTTCCATCGACACTGGTGTTGAGACCAGCTGTGGTGCAGAGGGATCTTGGTGTCCTTGGCCATGAGTCCCAAGAAGTTAATGTGCAGCTGCAGCAAGTGATGAGGAAGGCTGAAGGAATGGTGACCTTTATTGAGAGGGGAATGTAAAGTCACCACAGTCCTAAAGCTCTGTCATTGGAGAGCGAGCGGACTGGTGGTGAGTTTAACCAGAGGGGTCACCACAACTCGGGTGAGGGGAGAGGTCAAGAAGGAGAGTCCTTCTCTCAACCAGTGCTTGGGCTGTTGATGTCACTCTCCTTTGCAAACCAGGCCAACTAAACGAACCAACTCCTGAATAAAAAGGACCTTTTTCGTCAGTACTATGTGTCAGTGAGACCATATCTGGATTGCTATTGGACCGTTTCGGTTTCCTTATTTAAGAAAGGCTCAAAGTGTGTTAGAAGCAGCTTAGAAGTTCTGTCAACTGATTTCTAGAGATTCTTAGGGTTTTGTGAGAAGGTTTGACAGGATGGGCCTGTATCCATTGGAGTTTGGAAGAATGCAAGGCAGTCTACTTGAAGCGTACGAGATCCTGAGGAGACTTGACAGGATAGGTGCTGAGAGAATGTTCCGAGAGAGAGAGACTAGAACTAGGGGGCACACCTTGAAAGCAAAGGCAGGACTTTACACTTAATGGTAAGGTCCTGTAGAGTGTTGCCAAACACAGACGTTGGAGTGCAGGTTCATAGTTCTTTGAAAGTGGAGTCGCGGATAGACAGGGCAGTGAAGTAGATGTTTAGTGTGCTTGCCTTTATTAGTCAGTGCATTGAGTATAAGAGTTGGGAGGGTGATGTTGCAGCTGCACAGGACATTGATGAGGCCACTTTTGGAATACTGCGTTAATTCTGGTCTCCCTGCTATAGGAAGGATGTTGTGAAACTTGAAAGGGTTCAGAAAAGATTTACAAGGATGTTGCCAGGGTTGGAGGATTTGAGCTATAGGGAGAGACTGAATAGGCTGGGGCTATTTTCCCTAGAACATTGGAGGCTGATAGAAGTTTATAAAAATCATGAGGGGTATGGATAGAGTGAATAGGCATGGTCTTTTTCCCAAGGATAGGGGGGGTCCAAAACTGGAGGTGAGAAGGGAAAGATTTAGAAGGGACCTGAGGGGCAACTTTTCACAGAGACAGTGGTGCATGTGTGGAATGAGGTGCTGCAAGCTGGTACAAATCACCTTTAAAAGACATCTGGTTGGGTACATGAATAGGAAGAGTTTAGAGGGATATGAGCTAAATGCTGGCAAATTGGACTAGATTAATTTAATTTAGAATATCTGGTTGGCATAGATAAGTTGGACCGAAGGGTTGGTCTCTGTACTGTATAACTCTAAGATAGAGGTGAGAGTAGTTTTAACTTCGGATAGATCCTTGACTAACCGGGGTCAAACAGAGTTAAGGTTATGCAGGAAAGTGGCGGTGAGGGCCATACTTGAATGACCTGCTCCTGCTTCTGATTTGTACTAGTTTCAGCTGACTCTAGGGTGTGCCCAGCATGGAGTACTCTGTGTTATATTAATGCACATTGCTCAAAACATTTCTTCTCACTTTTTAAGTGATTCAATCACATCTGCTTGGGATTAGGGGTTCGGATCTTAAAGCATTTGAAACAGATTGGAGTAGGTTCTTGATGGTTTGGAGACAGTATATATAATTGTCAAGTTGGCGCCAGTTACTAAGATTGGTGTGCGATGTGATTACCGTGTCCTCAAACAGATTTTGCATCACTTTGTGTCTAAAACTTGAATCTCCTGCTCTGGCATCTAAAGTTGCGATATCTCCCTTTTTTCACCCCCCTCTCTCCTCAGTCTTGGGATGTGTTCTTCCGAAATGCCAACGCGGGAGCACCACCGGGCACAGCTTACCAAAGTCCTCCGCCGTTGGGTACCAGCATGGCTTCTCTGTCCAGCGCCCAGTCCGTGATGGTGGCTCAGCCCAATGTGGACAAGTTGGTGGAGGATCACCTGGCAGTGCAGTCGCTCATCAGAGCTTACCAGGTAACCGTCCGAAAGGTGGGCAGCCAGAGGGAAGGTTCTGGTTTCGCAAGCAGTTACCCTCGCTTGTCGTCGGGCCTGCTGTCTCTTTGTAAGCCTACAGGCATGTCCATGCTCATCAGTTCAAAGGCTCATATACGGTGTCCTGCGTGGATCCTAAATAGAAGCTGGTGTGTGCATGCGTCTCAGGGCCTACCAAGCTTGGTGGCCACGTTGAATTGAGTCAATGGGTGGCAATTTCCTCATCGTGTCTCCCAGCAAACTAACTCATCCTCTCTGACAAGTTTCATTTGAGTAATAAACAAGCCCCCTTTTCCCACTCCCGCCGAGTAGCTGGTGGAATTAAATTTGATTGATAAATCTGGAATTGAAAGCCAGCCTCGGTATAGGTTTCCGTGACAACGGTCTTCGATCTCTGTAAAAGCCCCATCTGGTCGACCAGTTGGAGATGTCAGCCTGACCGGCAATAATTAAACTCTGAAAATGTTTTGTAAGATTTAAAAAAAGGCCCATCGAGGGAAGTGAATCTTCCCTCCTTACCCGGTCTGGCCTACGCTTGACTCCAGACCCACAGCAACATGGTTGACTTTTGAGTGGGTGCTCGGGCATGAGCACCAAATGCCCGCCTTGCCGGTGTCCCCACGTTCTGGGAAAGAATGGCAGGGAAACGACCTGGTGGCAGCCATGAGGTGAACTTGGCAGAGGTGACCAAGGCCATCTTGTGTACGTGTCCCAATCCTCACCATATTGGTGGTTGGCATGATTCCAATGGGCATAACAAAGTCCTCTTGCTGGAGATTGGGCTAAATCGGCTGCCTTGCATTCACGGCACCATCTCCTCGCTGGCACCTTGATTTTTCCCGATCTTGGGCTCCGAACAGGAGGGACCGTTTTAAGGCGTGCGTTGACGGTGCCTGTTCGGTTTGGTAAGTCTCAGGTAATCTCCTTCCACGCTCAGTTTGTGCAGCCGCGGCAGATGGCGTGCACCCTCGGACGGACCTGTCAAGAATCTGTGACGGTACCCGTGGAACTGAAAACCCCCAGCCGAGAATGAAGGCTGGCTCCCATGTGCGCGCTCCCCAGCCAGGCCACCTTCCTCCAAGTTGCTATCGTTTGTGACTGGCAGGCCTGTCCCGGGCGTGTTGGAATGCGGGCGTTCTGCGTCGATTTGAGGCTCTGATGTGCGCAGCTAAAGCCTTGTTCTTGTTTCCCGTCCTGCAGGTCAGGGGTCACCACGTCTCAAAGCTTGATCCGCTCGGCATTAATATAGTCGCGTTTGACGAGTCGGGTAATGCTTTTCCAGTCGGGCCCTCCAGCCTTGGTGAGATGCGTTTCGGGACTTTGGTTTGCGTTGACGTAAAGGAAATGTAAAAAAGAACCTCTTCTTTTCTCCTCCCTCTGTTCCACTGTCCCCCTCCTCTGTTTTCCTTTTCCTCTTTTCAGATACGGGGACATCATGTTGCGCAGCTCGACCCTCTAGGAATCCTGGATGCGGACTTGGATTCGTCCCTTCCAGCTAACCTAGTCACCAGCTCAAACGGACTTGGTGAGGGCTCTAGAGTGGGTGGTCCCCTCTCTCCTCTTTCAGTTTTGGTTTTGGAGTTCCTCTTGTGCCTCTTTTTTTCTTTGCAAACCCCCCCCAACCTGAGTTTTGGCTTGTAGTGTAGAACTGTTGAAAGCATGCATGCACTTTCAAACACTTTGCACCCTTTGTCCTGTTTGCCAATGCTGATCCACACCAGGGCTGCACTTCGATACCAGTGCATGAGTGAGACTGTTTTAACCCTCTCCACCGCTTCTCCCATAACCTCTGACCACCCCCCCCGCCACCACCAAATAAAATCTAAATTGTTTCTATGGGCAATTCACAATACCATGCCGATACTTCTGTCAATGAGTCTGCACTCACTGCAGTAAAGGATTTTATAAACATCTAATGGATAGGCTGTGAGACTCCAGACATACCAGTTTGTATTTGTTTTAATAAACCTTTTTTTTCTAAATTGGTCCCAGAGTTTATCGTCGGCCACCGCTTTTCTGCTGAATGTGTGGTTCAATTCATTTCAAAAATGTGTGGCTTTTGTACACCTCCCTCCTGGGGAATTTTAGTTTCTGTTGTACTGACGACACTTTTTTGCATTTTCTTTCTCATTGCCTCCCTCCAGTATTGAGTTGGCCTCGCCCCCAGGTAGCCCTCTTTCTTGGCCAATTCAAGCTGGTCGATACAGGTCAGGTCGCGCTGCGTCCTTTAGCCGAGACGTGAATCAAGATTCAAGAAGTGGTGTTAGTCTAGAGTAAGCTTTCTGTCTGTCTTCCTTCCTCAGCAGATTAGGGTTTGAGGCTGGCACCACCTCTGCCCGTTGTAGTTGACGCTAGGCAATGTGAGACCACAGGAGAAGCTGTGGCAGTTTTGTTTCTGTAGCTTCCTGCAGACAACTTCTCCTCCCCCACCAACACATCCCCCCCCCCCCCCCCCCCCACCCCCGCCAATCCTACTGCCACCTGTAAATTGGCTCTCGCCACCAGCGTTGGCCAGTGCCATCTTGTACCCTTTGGCAGAAGGGATCTCGCATCTTTCAAAACTCTGCCCAGTCTGCCAAGCTGTGGTAACGGACAATGCTTTCTTGCTGCAGTGCATGTAATCCCGGGAGCGACTTCATTTGCAGTTGTGCTGTGTCTGCTCACTAATCTGTCAAATGGCCATTAATGCTGGGAGCTTGGCGTCTTGTGTTTGTTTCTTTTTATGCTGACTCGCTCACTTTGCTTGCTCTGAATGTCACATGTTGCGCGGTGTAAATACGTTTCCCCATTTGGCTTTGTTTCGCGTTCTGACGTGCAGTTGGGGGGAAAAGCAGCCTGTGTAGGATTTGAACCTGAAATGGTTTGATTCTGAACAAAAGTATCGGGTAGGTTGTCGGACTCCAGACCTACCTGTTTGCTTTTGTTTTAATAAACCTTTTCAATTTTATTTTCAAAATTGGTCCCAGAGTTTATCGTTGGCCACTACTTTTCTGCTGAATGTGTGGTCAGTTCATTTTGAAAATGTGTGGCTTTTGTACACCTCCCTCCTGATGCATTTTGGGGAATTTTAGCTTTTTTAAAAAAAAAACCCAAATTGTCTGTTTCTCCTTGCTATAATCCAGACCCTCTGAGGTTCCTCTCCTAAAGAAGGCAAACATGGACGAGAGAATTCTAGCCATCTATTTGTCAGATGTAGACCCACTGCGAAATGACACGTTGAGTGAATGATAAAGACCCAAGCAATGTAGGGACTGGTTTGTGCAAACTGGTGTGTAACTCCAGCCTGAAACTTGAACGACAAACTGCCATTTGAAACAGCAGCCCACGTTTCATTGGTTCGTATAGAATTAGGCAGCGAAAGATTTTTCAGAGACTTACAAGGATTTTGTTGTAAATCTATTACAACAGTTTCCCCCTTTGCCTGTTTGGAACCTTTCCCTGTCCAGAAGCCAAGTCATCACTTGCGAGAGCTGAGCTCTTGCTGTTTGTCATTGACCCACTCAAATGCATTTTCAGCACGCCCTGAGAGCAGGTGGGACTTGAACCCAGGCCTCCTGGTCCAGAGGTAGGGGTGCTACTACTGTGTTGCAAGAGATCCTGAGAACTCAGCTCTTGGAACACCAAGTCAAATGGGTATCGACTCTGGAGGAGGTCTGTCTGAGCCTTGAAGGGAGCGGCATTTCTAACTCTGCCAGCTTGTTTGCTCAGTTGTATTAGAGAATAAGGCACAGCCTCCTGAGATTCTGCAAGGGATTGTGGCTTGCCTCTCTCCTGTTGTGTTCCTCATGTTTAATTTTAGGCAGCCCAGGGACAAGAGGAAAGGGACTGCATATTGGCTGGGAAGACCAAAAGAAATAACATACAAATGTACAATCATGCCCATATCCTGTCTGAGAATGAGTTAAAATAAGGTTCTTAGGTGCTTTGAGTCTGTGGCAACCCTTTGTATTGTGTATTTCATTCCAGACCCTGCAGGATACCCCTCCCTTTCCCCATCTTCACGGATTTAACCAGTTTTCCCCAAAAGTTAGCTTTAAATCTGTTCCCACCCTCCTTTCAGGTGGCCAATTGTAACTGGCTGCCTTTTTGAAAAGGAACGGTTTTTATGTGCTGCGCCATTGTTTTCATCTGCTCAGGCCTTTACTCCTGGACTCCCCTCCCTAAATTTTGACAACTTTCCCTCTTGCACTCCTCAAACACTCACCTCCTAAAGCCTGAAACCTGGCTGAGGTCCTGATCTCTCCTGACGTTCCCCTGGCTTGCGTCGTCTTTCCCTTTTGCTGAAGCACTCCCTGCCAGGTGCCTTGGTAACCTTTACTCCCTCGGAGGTGCTAGATAAATGCAGCTGGTTGGTACTGTAAGGTGAGCAGCTTCAGTTTCTGCAGTCTGTCCATGCAGCTGAAGCCTTCAGTCCTTGCTACCACTCTAGTAATTCTTTCCCCTGTTTGTAAGACAGTTAAATTCCTGTTTATGTTGAGCCTTAATCTATTTTTTATGTGGTCTTTTTGCCCTCTTGCTTTTTTTCTTCACCCCACTACTCCATTCTAGCTATCGCAGTCGCTTATGACCCGTTTAGATGCAGTCACAGAGCCAAACATCACAGAAACAGACCCTTCAGTCCACCAGTCCATAATCCCAAACTGAACTCATCCCTCCTGCCCATATTCTTCCAAACCTTTCCTATTCATGTACTTATGCAAATGTCTTTTAAATGTAGTTAACAACAGCCGCATCCCCCACTTCCTCAGGAAGTTCATTCCATGCGTCAACCACTCTGTAACAAAAAAATTGCTCCTCATGTCTTTTTTTTTAATCTTTCTCCTCTCACTTTTTAAAATATGTCCCCTTGTTTTGAAATATCCCACCCTATGGAAAAAAACATCTGCCATTCACCTTATCTAAACCCCAGAAGGTCACCTCTCAACCTCTTGCCCTCCAGTAGAAAAAGTCCCAGCCCCTCCTTATAACTCAAGCCCTCCAATCCTGGCAAATCTTTTCTGAATCCTCTCTGTTTAATAACATCCTTCCTATTTATTGTAAAAGTTCTTGTAATTTATTATTGAAGTGAAATTAGAAGTCCTACGTTTTCGGGATTTTGACCATTAATTGCCTCTCTCTCTCTCTCTCTCTCTATCTCTGTGTCTCTCTAGTATGTGTCTAGCCTATATCCAAATCATCACCTCTTTAAACGCTTTCTCTATTAATTCACCATTGCAACTGACAAGTTTCGGTTCCCAGGCAGATCCCTTTTCAACTCCCTGTATTTCACCCTCCTCCTGTTCAATATTTTGTTTCTTGCTTCACCCTATTCTATCTCTGCTGTGAACGTAATATTATGGTTGCTATACCCAAAAGGCTCACCCTTTTGAAATGGACTCTACTATCCTTCCTTCTCCTAGATCCAATGCTTGATTGACTGATTAAGCAGGATTTTGCTGAGAGTAACTCGGGAATTCCTGTCCTTTTCTGAACCTGACCAATGATATCATCCCACAATAATTGGAGCCCTTCCATTATCACAGCCAAATAATGTGCAAATGTTCTGCTCTGTTTCTTTTCTACAATTCATCTGCCTACAGTAAAGACCTAACAGTGTGATAGCTCAAACAGCAATTCCCCAACTGCGGGAGGCTGGAAATCTGAAAGAGAAGCAGAAATTGCTGGAGGAACTTAGCAAGTCTGGCAGCATCTTTGGAGAGAAAGCAGAGTTCATGTTTTGGGTCCAGTGATCCTTCCTGAGAATAGCTTGCCTTTAACTCCATGTGGATAGGCTCTACAGTACATAAACCTTGCTACAATTAAGCCCTCTTCTCCCTGAATAACTTGTAGCATGGGAAAGTAAGTGCCCATTCCTCCTTTATGGTTTAAACATAAGACAGCACTAATGCCCAGTGGTCACTTGTGTCTGCATCTCAATGCCTCTGTATTTATCGTGCTCCACTGTACCTTCATATCACACGTGGGAAATCCATTGTCATCCGCCACGTTACCTGTGTGTCGAAACAGCTGCCATTTCAGTTTGCTGTGAATAGATAACAGAGGGGGTCTTGTGCATTTGTTCTCCATGTAAAGAATGACTGCCTGACAACATTTGCTCTTTTGAAAACATCTACATTTTTAAAACTGTGCCGGTCCTCGTGTTCTGGCATGGACTTGTCTGCCCAGATGGGATCCATCTTTCTACAAACAGTAATGATTTACACTGTACTCTTGATTTCTTTCCTCAGCTACACTAGTTTCAACCTCCCAGCAGAGTCCCCCTCTCATGACTCTCATAGAGGTATACAGCACGGAAACAGGCCCTTTGGCTCAACTCATCCATGCTGACCAGGTTTCTTAAACCGAACTGTTCCCATTTGCCTGCGTTTGGTCCATATCGGTAAACCTTTCCTATCCATGTACCTGTCCAAATGTCTTTAAAATGTTGTAATTGTACCCGCCTGTACCACTTCCTCTGGCAACTCGTTCCATTCACGCACCACCTTCTGCGTGAAAAAGTTACCACTCAGGTCCCTTTTAAATTTT